CATTCTGTGCTTGATTCCTGCATGCACACACCTCGCGACGTGAGACGCTGATAAAGTCACACTTCAAGCTGTTGCTGTTAAAGGTGTTTTTTCAAGCTGCTGAATCATGGGGTGTACTTAGTTTGTCACAAAACTGCATAGAGTCCCATGAAAGTGCTCTTTTCCACATGGCTGTGTGTTTTTCATAGATTTGTTTTTGAATAATAATGAAACTATTTAGATCAGAGCACTTTTGTCTTCACAAGATAAATTTTTTGAAATACCCCCCCCCCAAAAATCGTAACAGGATAGCAACACTTGGCCTTTTAAATAATTCTCCTCTTCTCTCCTTGTCTTCAGATTCCGATGTGACTGAGTCATCTCTCCCCGATGGCGTTCATTCATCTATTTCTGCGCTCCTGGATCACTTTGAGCAGAAACATTTCTCTTCCATCGTGGCTCGCGCCGTCTCTTACCTCACCGTCTCCAGGTCTGGGCTCACCGAGGCTGAGCTCGCCGATCTGCTGTCCATTAAGGAAGATTTGCCGCACATAGGCTCTTCTTTTAAGATGACAGTCCCACAAGTCGATGTGGAGAGACTTCTTTTGGATTTAAAGAGCTTTCTTATCCAACGGAAAGTTGCAGGTTCCCTGGTTTTGTTCTGGGTGAGCAGGCATTTCAAGTTGGTCGTGGCGAAAAGGTATTTAGACGCTCCTGATGTAAGAAGAAGGCTTCATTCTGAGATGGCCGACTATTTTAGTGGACAGACGTCAGGCGTAAACAAGGATGCAGCCTTAAAAACACACACAGACACTCGGCAACCCAGCCAGCCATTTGTATTCACTTCAATCAAAGGTGGTGGTCGGGTGAATGTGAGAAAAATCGTAGAACTGCCGTATCACCTGCAGCAGAGTGGCAGGTGGAAGGAGTTTAAGTGCGTGCTGTTGCTGTCATTTGGGTTTCACCAGGCTATGGTTCGAGCTGGTCTTCTTGGAGATCTGCTAGCTATGTTGGAGGCTGAAGAGGAGTCATCTCAGGTTAAGTTTGTAAGAGAAAGACTGCTACTAGCAAGCACATTGAAGTCTTCTGCTTGCTTCCTGCAGAGCTCACCTCTGCAGCTGCCCTCAGTGATGGAGACAAACCTCCTCCCCTATTTGGAGGTCTTTCCTGCTCTTGAGGGTTATCTCAGGGAAATCAAGGAAGGGAGAAGAAGTGGATTAGGAATAGTGCTTTGCCCCAGTCCTTCCTGTGTTCCCCACATTCAGTACTTAAAGTACGATGACATAAGTAAGGGCGTTTGTGTCAGAGAGATCGCCGGTACAAAGTGTGGGGTTGTTGCCGAGATCACAGATGACGGCTCTGCTTGGATTTGGAAAGGGTGTGGATATGATGTAGCCAAACTGTCACTCAGATGCGAGCAGACAGAGTTAAAGTTTGCAGGCGTGAAGAGCAGCGGTCCGTTCCTCCTGCTTTCCACAAGCTGCAGCAAGCTTTTCGTGTGGGATGTGGAAGGCCCAGAAAAGTTTCTCGAGGTCAAAGACCCTTTTAAAAACACGTGCGAGTCGAGCGAAACACCCAGCAACATCGAGGGATTCGTCGCACATCAGAAAACGCTGTCCGTGTGGTGGAAAGATGAGAGCTTTGTGAGTGTGTTTGACATCTCCAGTGAAACCCTAACTCATTTCCAGTGTCAGAGCCCTGTGACCTGTTCAGTGTTCTCCTCTGATGGGTTTTTCATGTACTGTGGCCAGGAGGAAGGCACAGTGTCCGTATTTGACATGAAATCCAGCAGTCTGCTTAGCACCTGCTCAAACTCGAACCACAGTGCTGTTACGCTGATCATCCTCCAGGAAGACAAGAGGGAAATGGCATGTGTTGATAGGACTGGAAGTGTATCTTTATGGGATGTGGCAGCCAATACACAACCACCCAGACTTGTGAAAGAAAGTTTCACTCAGGGTTACTCTACTAACATACTCAGTACAGATTATTTCAGTGAAATCAATACTCTTTTGATGTGTCAAGCCCACCAGGCTTTACTGTGGGATACTTGTAACTGGGAGCTGTGGGACCAGTTCTTGGCTCCACAGGGAAGAGCCTTCACTCAAGCTGTGCTCTCCCAGGATGGCCATCTTTTCCTGGCTTTGTTAGACACCTGCACCTTTATCTTGGTGTGGAGGGTCAGCAGTGGGGAGTGTGTGCTCTCCTTAGAAACGAACAAGCAGCCACACACACTCCTCAAAATGGCCTCAGATGTAATTTGTGTCAGTCACGATGGCTGCCTGACAGTGTGGGACTCCGAGATGATTGATGCTGCAGGAAGTGCACAGAAAATGGGCGGTGGAGTGAAGGAGGTGGTGGTGGAGCAAACAGGCTTGTGGTTCTACACCAGAGATGGGTCGGAGAAGGTGTGGAAGTGGAGTCTAGACACGGGACTTCCACATGTTAACTTCCTGCATACTGGGCCTGTGGAAAAACTGCAGCTTTCCCCAAACGGCATCCACCTGGTGTCACTCTCGGCTGGGGATATTTATGTGTGGCGGACGGAAACAGGTGAAAATATCCTCCGCATCGGTGGCAGCAGAGCTAGAGACATCCTGATCACCCCTAATAACAACTTTGGAGTGAGCATTTCTGAGCGAGGCCTCTCGCGGGTTTTCAAGATTGCACAAGGAAATATCGTGTGCAGCATCCACCCATACCTATCTGATGCTCAGGTTTCACCTGAGAGCACCTACCTGCTCGGCTGTTGCCATGGAGACCTGCTGGCTGCCAGTCTGTGGTCGGGGTCGATTAGCAAGCGTTTCTCCTGTGTGGAAAGCTCTGAGGAGGTTGTCGCTTTCCAAACTCTTTCACAGCACCCAGAATTTGTGGTTGTGATGGCGGCCTCGGGGACGGTGTACACGTGGAAGGTGGCAGAGGAGACTGTGTGCTGGCACTTTCAGCTGCCACACATGTTTTACTGTCAGCCTGAGGACTTCCAAATGTCCTCCAATGGCAGCTACGCACTGCTGTCCATTGACAGCGGCGCAATTAACCTCTTAAATCTGTCTCGAGTCACACTGTGCTCATTCAAAGTCGAGGGTCCTGTCATTAAAGCCTGCCTGGACAAAACTGGACACTATGTTGCTTACATAACCACGCCCTCCGGGCTGGAGGACAGCTGTGACTGCTACCTGCATGCGAGGCCCATCCTCCAAGTCACGCGACTTTCAGATGGGGAGAGATTAGGAGCTGTGCATCTATCTAAGAATCCACTAGCTCTGGTTATTTGTGAGCAGCACTGTGTGTTTGTGGGTTTTGGGGATGGGTCTGTAGGTGTGTACTACATTTCAGATGTCACAGTCGATGTGGATGAGCCAATCAGGTGCTGGGAAGATCCTAGCGGCCAGCTAAAGCAATGTCCCTTTGACAGGATGCCATTCAGCTGGTTTCCTCAAGACACACCAAATGTTACATGGCCTTAAAATTATTATATGATTCTGGACAAAGAATGTGCAAATTTTAATATTAGACAAAGATAATCTGAGTCAATACAAAATACAGCTTTTAATTAACAATTTCATTTATTGAGGGAAAACAGCTATCCAAATATACATGGCCCTGTGAGAAATAGTAATTCCCCCCTTGTTAAATCATGAATTTACCAGCCCTGATTACTACCAGACCTTTTGAATTAAGAAATCACTTAAACAGAACCTGTCTGACAAAGTGAAGAAGGCTAAAAGATCTTAAAAAGCAAAGAAACTTCAGAAAACATAGTCACTGACATCTATCAGTCTAGAAAGGGCATTTGGACTAACACAGAGATACGTCATCCACAGCTGTAAAACGTTGAAGGAGTGGTCGACATACCAATGACTCATCCAGGATGTCACAAAAAACAAACCCCACCTTTCCCAAACTTCCCAAACTTTTCGTGTGGGATGCAAAAGGCTCAGAAAAGTTTCTTGAGGCCAAAGACCCTTTTAGAAACATGTGCGAGTCGAGCGAAATGCCCAGGAACATCGAGGGATTCATCACACATCAGAAAAAGCTGTCTGTGTGGTGGAAATATGAGATGTTATGACAAAGGGTCGTCTCACATTTACCAAAGAACATCTCGATGATCCCCAAGACTTTTTGGAGCATGTTCTGTGGACTGATGAGACAAAAGCTGAACTTTTTAAAAGGTTTGATCTGGTGTAAAACTAACACAACACATAAAAAAAGAACCAACAGTCAAACCTGGTGGTTTGTGGTAGTGTAATGGTTTGGGGCTGCTTTGCTGCTTCAGGATCTGGACGAGTCACTGTAACTGATGAAACCATGAATTCTGTTGTTAGCAATTAATAGGTTAACTTTTTAACACAGGGCCAGATAGATCACACAATGAAGAGCGTCATATTATAAATTCTTGTAAGTACATAATACTGTAAACTGTATATATTTATGTATAAATATTAAACATATGTTTGGTGTATGCTGGCACAGGCAGGAGGTTTGCTGCAATTATCTAAAACCAAATTGTCTGATAAATCTCTTTTTGTGTGTATTTTGTAAACACAACACCACTTTGGCATGACTGCATCATGGTTTGTATTCCCAATAACTGCTGTTCTCTTAAATAAATTAAAAAAAAAAAAAAAAAAAAATAGTTGCTCTGTGTTAAAAGAACTGATTGTTACTGAAAGTATACACAGTCGTTTATTTATTTGGTACCATCTTCCTCCACATTCATTCGTGATGCCTTCAAGTTCAACCTCGTAAAGTGGAGCCCTTATTGGTTTTGCATTAGCTGCTTTTGAAAAGAACAAATTGTGCACCCTGTAGCCTAGAAATCTTTATTATATTAGTTAATTAATTAAATAATTGCATTCATTACAGTTTTAGACACGGTAGCCCTTATGAAAAAAAACATACAATATGCTACTGAATGATCGATTTCTTTGCGAGGTGACTGTAATATCTCCGACAACCCTCGAAGGCAGCATCAGCTGAGCTAAATTGCCATCACAGAGCCCTCAACGTCCACATTTGAGTCCAGGTGAAGACATGCAGCTGTTCTGTTGGGGAGACAGCTCCAGCGGACAGTTCGGGCCACAGGCGGCCCCCAGCCCCGTGTCCTGGACCGTCCCCGGGGTTGTAACTAAGATCTGCTGTGGGGATCGGCACACTTTATTTCTTAATGCAGACGGGGACGTGCTGTCATGTGGGCAAAACTCTCAGGGACAACTTGGACGACAGAAGAAAAAAAATGGAAAGATCATAGGTGAGTAGGCTGTTTAGCTGTTTTCATTTAAAGGAAACAAAATACGTGGAATAAAACAAAATATTATAATTTTATTCTTTGATTAATTGTTTTCTTAGTTTATTTTCACGGGTATTTGGACATATTTATTTAAGGTGTGATTTGACCGTGTGGCGCAGGCTTTTAATCAGATACTGCGTCCTTAAGAAGCGATAAATCATCTCCGGAACACTTACTGCGTAAAAAAACTTACTGCGTCAAGTTTCAGTTTCGTTTCAGTGCTGTCGGTGAAGACAACGAAAGTTAAAACCTCCTAAGAAATCTCAGTGTTGCTTTCAGAGTTGCTAGATGTAGCAAGAAATGTGAAATATGACAGAAGCACGAACACGGACAGTCATATAAATCACGTGCAAAATGTAAGAAATAAATAACAGGTTTATATTATTATCTCATATTATTATATATTTTTTGATACATTAGCATGTATATTGTATGCATGTATGTATGTATTGTGAAACCTAGAAGCTATAACTGGATTTAACCCAGAGAAAGTGCAGGTAAGTAAGGTGAGCTGTTTGCTGCTTTGCAACACTATAGATGAGAAGCTTTGCATAGGTTTTAGCGAATGTCCCAAACTTCCCTGTTTGTCTTTGTTTATCATTAAGTTCTTATTAGGCTGAGGCTACTGTGGTCAGACATGTAATGTGATCCAGCTGACACGTTTGTGTGCAATTTCTGTCGTTCTTTCTAAGCTCAAGTGGAGGGGCTGGGCAGTGTGGTGGCGATGGCTTGCGGTCAGGACCACTGTCTGGCTGTGAGTGCATCTGGACATGTTTTCTCCTGGGGGGCAGGAGAGGATGGACAGCTAGGGTTACCAACACGTTCCAACAGTCACAGACCAAGGTAATCGCTCATTCAGTGACACATGAATAATACGCACAATTATCACTGACTTGTTCAAAGCTTTTTGCCACATTTTTACGAATTGTTGTCCATCATCATGCAGCAAGGTGCCTATCCCACTGCCCATACCGATAATTCAAGTTGCTTGTGGAAACTCCCATTCCCTGGCCCTGACTAAAGGTAAGACACAACTTTGTGTGTTCATATGGAACAAGGGCGATAACGGTTATCCCCACACATGATGATTGATGATGAATTTTTCCTTTTCTAAAGTGTCTTTATCTGTGTTGTAAACCCAGCTTGCCCTAAAAGTGTGCCGTATATTCCTTCACGTAGCTGACAGTATTTGAAGATATTTCATTGGCCAGAGGCTCATTTTGCAAAGAGAGTCAGTCCATTTAAACTCCAGCACTTTATCCAGCAGTATATCAATTAAAAGGCCATAACTGTGCCTGAATTTCTAATTTAATTTACATAATTCTCACTTATATAATGTATCCATGCATCCTATTTATTCTACTTCTAATCTATGTAAAATATTCTGTGGTGATTGAGGAACAATAATTTGATAAACTAAATTAACGATTTGCTTTTTTAAAGGTGTTAATTGAACATTTTAAAAACACTTTTCACCTCTCTCCAGGAGGCGATGTCTTCTCGTGGGGTTTAAACAGTCATGGTCAGCTGGGCCTGGGGAAGGAGGTGCCGGTGCAGGATACACCCGTCATAATTTGTGCTTTGGCTGGAGTAGCGGTAACTCAGATTGCAGCAGGAGGGACCCACAGTCTGTTCCTCACCCTCGCAGACCTGGTGTACTGCTGTGGGGCCAATAAATGTGGTCAGCTTGGGGTTAACAGGGTGGATGAGAAAGGTAGAGCAAGTTGGTGACTCATAAAGTTAGTGTATATGTGTGTGGCATGATTTGAAATAAAACACTCTACTTTTTATCTGTTTCTACTTTAACAGGCAGGTTCAACATCTGTATGGTGCCTGCGCTCAGACCTCTAAGTGTCTCCTTCATAAGCTGTGGAGAGTCGCACTCTGCTGTGTTGACAAAGGTATCACTGGTTCATCCAGGTGACTTCAACCATTGATTAACAGTCAAAGTAAAAACTACGGTTGTTTTGCTTTGCAGGACGGTAAAGTTTACACTTTTGGAGACGGAAGCCAAGGTCAGCTCGGTCACAGCACCTCTGCTAATGAAGTGAAGCCCAAACTGGTTGCAGGTGTGGATGGTCCTGTTTCCCAGATTGCATGTGGCAGGTAAAAACCGGGATGTTTTGTTTTTAATATAAGCACCACCATGGCTACCATCCTGATCATTTATAGCGTTTCACAGTCTATGTGCTAAAGATCCCCGTTGTGTTGTATTGTCAATGTTAGCTAGGACGCACTTAAGCATAGAGAAAAGTGCCTGGGTGAATGAGGTGTGTTTGATAAAACAGTTTGAGTGCTATTTAATACCCACTCCATGGACTGTTTTTGGTCTGCCAGGCATCACACTCTGGTTTTGGGCTCTTCTGGTCAGCTCTGGGCTTTTGGCAGTGGAGCTAAAGGTCAAACTGGAAATGGGCACAATGGTGGCAGTCTGACTCCCACTCTGGTTCAGTTTCCATGGACCACTGACGATGCAGCAGCCATGCCCAGTGGTATGTATGCGTGTTAGATTTTGCTAGTACGATTAATAGTTCAGAATCTTGAATGTAAATTAAGTTTATGTGCTTTATAAATTTTGAATATTTAGATGAAATTGTTTGATTTTTGTTTAAGCAGACTTGAAAATAGCTGCTGGGTGGAACACAAACTTTGCTTACTCTTCACCTGCAGAGGTAATCGAACACCTACAGCTTTAACTGCTCACAGAAAATGTAAAAAAAGGAAACACGTCATCCTGCCTGCTCACTTCTTCTTTCTTTTATTTTAAGAACTCCGTTCACAAACAGATAACTGGACGTCTTGATGAGACAAAACTCCAACAATGGCTGATGATGGAGCATAGTAATGTGGAGGCAAAAAGGTAATTCTTCATCATCATCATTCTGTGATATTTAGATTTATGTGACTGCAGTTTTAATATTAGTTATATTAAATATATGCTCAAGATCTTCACTGTCTTAGTCTCTGCTGATGTGTCTTTCTCTTTGCGACAGAGAAATAGGATCGATGTTTCTGACAAGTTCAAGTCTTGTTGCAAGTTTCACAAAAGCCAAGTAAGTCCTTCACTGATGGTTTTGTCTGGGTCGGGGTTAATCTAGAAATGTAAGATTTAAGGATTGACTGGTTGGTGCTGCCGCTCACCTCTCTGTTTGATATCAGTGGGTTTCCACTGGAAGCAGGCGACTTAACCATGGACCTGGAGGCCGCTAGCCGAGCTTTCGACCAGCTGTTCACAAGACAGTGGATCAAACAATCAGTTAAGAACATCCTTTAAACAATTTGTGATATGACGATTTTTTTTAAACTTGTGATCTCATACAGTAGGTCTCCTTTCCATGCAGGTAAACTTGGTCCCTCTGTGCGACTTGCTTTACCTGTCAAGAACTGCATTAAAATCTCCAGAGATCATCCTGATTCTTCTGACCTGCCCGCTTCTTCAAGAGGACTCTAATGTCATGAATGCAGTTCTATCTGTGGCCATCACTATAGCAGAGATGTCGGACAAGACTCTGGAAACATTAAGTAAATGACTTTTGTCACAAGATTGGAGAACAAGCTTGTTAGTCAACCACTCATTGTCAGGTTTATGCTGTAAATGCTTTAAATCAGTGGTCCCCAACCTTTTTTGTGCCACCGACCAGTTTAATGTCAGACAATATTTTCATGGACCGGCCTTTAAGGTGTTGCGGATAAATACAAAATAAAATGATACGGCTGATACGAGATGGTCCCACCTGGGAGTAATGGGGGGTAATGACACCCGAAGTGTGTTGCTTTTGCTCAGTCTGTTCCGCAATTTTGTTTTGGTAGCTGTAACTGCAGAAAACCCTGCTTCACACTGTTCAGTCAGATTAGAAAAAAACTAAAATAATGTAAGTTATTAATTTTTTTCTGCATGGCCTGCTACCCCAAAAAATAACATTTATTCATAACACATGGGAAAAGACCTTGGGAAACAGAGTTAATGATAAAAACCATGAAAACCATAAATTTCACACCCGAGCCTCAACTCTCGCGGCCGGGTACCAAACGACTCACGGACTGTTAATGGTCCATGGCCCAGGGGTTGGGGACCGCCGCTTTAAAGTCACAGTATTGATATTTACAAAAAACATTTTTATGTTTCTGTAATGGTCAATCTGTCAGGATGTACAAACTCTTTTATTAAAATGAATTATTAAATGTTAAAATGTAAGTACTGTTGTTATCCATGAATTTTCAAATTTAGCATTTAATGAAACAGCATTAGTAGTTGTTGTTGTTGTTGTTGTTTTTTAATGAGATACCAAATATAGTTATTTACTTTCATTCTTAGACAGAAAAAATGTTTTAGTAGTTGAATGTTAAATTCGGTTTATATGCATAAAAAGTAACAACATATGACAGGTGGTCTAATAAATTGGTTTAGCCCAGTATAATGATCGAGTTTACTGTGATAACTTTAAAAGTATTTATTCAATGTAAGACACCGTTTTGTTTTAAAATCTCTTCAGTTTGTATAATAAGTTATTTTTTATTACTAAATAATAGTTTTGGAGATGTTAGCAATCCAATTTATGCAGTGTAAACTTAATATTTCTTTGTATTTTTTTGTGTGTTCTGCAGAAAAGTGGTGGAGTTCACTGTCCCCCTTGATACTGATGAAGCACATCATGGTCTTCAAAAAGGCTCTCGCCTTCATGCTAAAGAATGGCCTCTTACAAACACACAACCCAGGAGTCAAATTCTTACTGGAAGCCCTCAAGCTGCTATACAAAGTCAGTGCTGTGTGCTTTACTTCTGTTTTTTAATGACCGTTAGATTTTGAAATATTGGTTTCAATTAACAGATCAACTGGAATCTCTTGTTAGTAAAATATGATCAGTTATAATAATTGAAAGTCTTGGGATAGAAAAACTGTTAAAAAACATTAACAAATGACAATATTGTTTCTGTTTTCTTGATAAAAATATATTTTGTTCCAGGCAAACAAAGCTGGAAAGTCCTACAAAGTCCCACTGAGCACCTTTTATGTAGAAGAAATCACAAATGCTGTGCAGCTTGACATTGACATCATGCTTTGGTGGCAATTCTCCAAAGAGGAGGTAAAAACAAACAGTGCAGTAAACTCAAGTGCTTCAAATAAACAATGTGTCCATTTGTCCAGTATGGATTTCAGTTTCTGTCAGACTGCTTTTTACTGATATTCATTATTAAATGACTGCTTGTCTTAAAGGATGACGTGAACACACCTGCCATCTTCTGTCGCTACCCATTCCTTTTGACCCTGCTTCACAAAGTGGCCGTATTTAACTTCTGTGCAGCCACAGTGAAGGTAGAACGTGCATTCAGATTTCACCTTTTTAACCATCTGCAATTACACAGGAACTGATTTCTATCTTTTAGCAGATTTCCTTCTAATTGGGTTTTTTTGCACTTACAGAATGTGCATCAACTTGCTCATCAAGCAGCTTTGGTGCCCGATCAACCGCACGCCCCAGACTCTCCACCTGCCCCAGTCTTCCAGCTAACCCTGAGGCGACCTCACCTGGTCGAGGACACCTTCAGACAGCTCAGTGCAGCCGACCACTGTGCATTCCAAAGGGAGCTTTTAGTAAATATGAAACTTTACTTTTACTAGATTGCTAGAGCTAGGGTTAGCACTGTTGGCCAGCAGTGTTTCGTTAAAGTGTAAAAGAGGACCCAAGTGTTTAGATGAATGCCCATAAAATTACTTTAGTAATTCGATATCGATAAGCAGAAGAGAATGGACATGGGATTAAATAAACTGCTCTATAAAATCACGAGTTGCAGAAACTAACAGAAACATGATTTTTTTTTTTCTGTCCTAGGTGCTGTTTGTGGAGGACAGGAAGATAACAAATGTCAACAAAAGGGACTTTTTCCTGCATGTGTTTGATGAGCTGATGGCTCCAGAATCTAAAATGTTCATATATAACGAGAGCCAGACTGTGGCCTGGTTCCCTCCCAAGGTAAGACCAGTTAGGGGAAAAAACCTACATTAATATTCTATGTGCTGCTTAAAAAAATAAAGCAGCACATTAAATAAATAAATAAATAAATAAATAAATAAATATATGATCAATTTCAGATTTAAAATTGAGTTTTTCTGTATCACAATTTCTTTTTATTCACCAACCAAACAGCCAAAAGTAGAGGAGAAGACTTACTTCCTGTTTGGCATTCTGTGTGGCCTGGCTCTCTACAACCACAACATTATCCACCTGCGCTTCCCACAAGCTCTGTTCAAGAAGCTGCTCAGGGTCAAACCTACGCTGGACGACATGAAGGAGTTTGACCCTGTGCTGGCAGAGTAAGACAGACTTAAAAACACACAAGTGAAATGTGTTCTTTCTCACATGACATGACAAAAGAAGTTTATTGATACATAGATATCTCCCGAGCATTTAACCTCAAATGCACTGAAAGTAGTGCTAACAACAGTATCAAAACATTCATTAGTGCTTTTGTGCCTTTAGGTCTTGGAGGATCATCTTAGAGGACTACACCCCTGATGTTGTTCAAACGCTGGACACTACTTTCACTGTAAGTTTACTAAATCATGTGTTTCGTGTCTGTTTTTCTTTCATACTTTCTTCACCTGACAGAGTGATTATCTGTGGTAGGTGTCCTGGGCTGGTGAGACAGTTGAGCTTGATCCAAATGAACCAGGAAAACTTGTCACCGGGTCAAACAGGTGTGTATAAACAGTCTACACAGCACTCCTTTTCTGCCATCTAACAGCTACATCCACACTGTGCTCCCTTCTTAATAGTTGCAACAAGCCATTACACTGGCTGGGATGTTGCCAACACTATAAATCAGTACATGTATACTTTTTAATGTTATTTTTCATCAATAGGAAAGAATACGTAGCTGCCTGTGTGAACTACGTCTTCAACAAATCAGTGGAGAGAGTGTTTGACGAGTTCAAGAGAGGGTTTTTCAAAGTGTGCAACATGGACGTGGTGGATTTCTTCCAGCCAGAGGAGCTGCAAGCAGTGATGGTGGGCCAAGAAAACTACGACTGGGAGGTGTTCAAGAAGGTAAAGAGATATAAACTTGAAGACATCCAGGAATATTGATGCTAAGATTTTTATTCATAATCTGATTTTTTTTTTAAATTCACCATCATCTGAATGAGTAATTTTCCTGGCCAATGCAGGATAGTTTAGCACGCTATGCTATGAATTCACCTGAACCATATGTGTCACCATAGTTCAGTTTGACCAAAAGAATAGCTGACTGTGTGCACACTTGCAACTTAACATAAATCAGGAATTAAATTTAAAGCTTGGACTCTGCTTATGAAATTAGCAGAGTGACACCACTGACACCTAGTCTGGTGTCAGTGGGATAAAAAAAAAATGTAAATGACACACATATTTCATATATGTTCTTATTTTTATGTTCCCAAACAGAACACATTTTATGAAGGTGAATACCATGATGAGCATCCAAATATACTGGTCTTCTGGGAGGTGTTTGAGAGCCTGACAGCAGAGGAAAAGAAAAAGTTCCTTTGTAAGTATTTCATCATTAGGCTTGCTGTCATTTCCATTTACGTCTATCAGTTTTAACTTACTTGACATATGTTTCTTGATGTCCTGCCAAAAATTTGTGTAACATTTCAGATTCCGTTTTTCACTTTTCCTCTGTTATTTTCTTTCGTCCTCAGTGTTTCTCACTGGCAGTGATCGCGTACCCTTCCTGGGAATGGAGAGCATCAAGATGAGAGTGGCTGTGCTGCCCGATGCTTCTGAACGCCATTTGCCTGAATCGCTTACCTGCCATTTCCTGTTGTTACTGCCCATCTACAGGAGATACCCAGTCGAGAGGAAGATGCGCACAAGGCTTCTCCAGGCTATCAATCACAACAGAGGCTTCTGGAAGAAGCGACCCACCACAGAGTGAAGCAGCAGGGGTTTTGTTGTAAAGAGCCCATCTTAGCATCAGTTATTTTTCGGCTCTTCTTGCTTTACAATCTGTGCGAATAATTGTGAGTGATATTTTTTTATTGTTATTACAATTTTTTTTGTGCTTTTAAAATGAACATAAGCTTAAATCTTCAATAAATACAATGCTTAGCAAATTTCTTACACCACCCAGTTTATGGATTAAACCACAGCATTGGTAATTAATAAAATAATGTTTTAATGGTTCTGTAGTGGTTAATCCACCACTGTGCACAAGCTCTCAAAATTCTGATTTGTAATGCTACAAAATAACCATTGTTATCTGTGAATCTTCAGATTCACAGTTTTGCAAATAAGCGTATCAAATTTGTTATTTTATTTATTTTATTTAGTTTCAGGGGTTGAATTGTATCCTCAGAGAAGTCCTGTGTGCCCGCTCAAATGTGGGTAAAAAAACATAAACCCACTTTGTTGTCTGCCTAAGAAATAACAGTATAACGTTTAGTTGTAAACAAGTTTTTGACAGAATTCTATAATATTTGTGTAAGAAATTTGTTAAACACTGTATGTCATACATACTTAGACCATACTTAGATTAGGAAATCACCTTTTCTTGCATTTGTACCTAGTAAATCATCTTAATAAATTCTCTGCTATGCTGCCTAGTATTTTATTATTATTTTTGTATTATTACCACTTCTCTGGAGATGAGGAACACTCTGACACAACTTAGGACACTACCTCTGCTCAATAATCAGACACAATAGCAGTACCTTCATTATAGTCAATATATATGGTTACAATAATAAAACTGAAAATGATAAATTACTTGACTCCTTAGAAGAAAGAATGATCTTCTGGCTCTCCAAATACACAAACTCAATCCTCTTCATTGGTGGAGACTTTAACATCGCTTTAGATAATATGGTTGATAGATGGCCTCCAGGGCAGCAGTCTTCATACAGTACAAACTTAATGTAATGTTGTGGATATTTGGAGAGAAAATTTTCCAGATGATAGGCTCTTTACTTGGAGCAATAAGACAGGATCCAGGCAATCATGTATTGACTTCTGGCTTGTTTCTATTTGTATTGATAAAGATAATATTACTGTTAATATACTTCCCACCCCTCTCACTGATCATAGAGCAATTCACATTAACATCCAAATGCTTACACTGGATAATATGCCTTACAAATTCTCCTATTTGAAGTTAAATAATATCCTTACTAAAGGATTCTTGAGAAGATATGGGAGTCAAATTACTAAATTGAGGAAGAAGTGATCAGCAAACTGGCCTCTCATTAACAGAAGTCCTCAGAAAAAATCTCAGAGGAAGATTTTACTAGACCTTCAAAATAGATTGGATGGTTTATACCGACGCAAGGCTGAGGATGCTTTTGTAAGATTCAGGGAGAGATGGCTGGAGGAGGGAGAACAAAATTCTGCTTCCTTTTTCAGGCTTGAAAAATACAGATCAAAAACAAACTCTATTCATCAACTAAATATTAATGGCATTGTCTCCTAGGCAAATTTTTGTGCCAAATTCTATGCTAAACTGTACAACTTAAAATATAATGAAGATGTTTCAACACTATTTCTCAATAATATTAAAAACCTAAAAACTATTGATGTGGACGATAGGAGTCATTGTGACAAGAAACTTCCTCCACCATCAGAGGGCTCTGATGGTGGAGGAAGTTTCTAATTCCATTTCTGCACTTAAGGCCAATAAATCTCCCGGCACAGAGGGTTTAACTGCAGAGTTTTACAAATCATTTTCTAATCTCCTGGCTCCGTTCATACTACAGGTTTTCATAGAAAGTATAGAGAATAACACCCTCCCTCCTACTTTTACTTAGGTCTCATAACACTTGTTCCAAAACCAAACAAAGACTCACTTTTTATTGATAATTGGACCCATCTGTCTGCTCAATAATGACTATATGGCTTTAGTACTTGCTAACAGAATTTAAAGAGTTCTTGAGACACAGTCAGGCTTTATGAGAAATAAGCACATTTCTAATAACATTAGATTAGTTTTGGATATACTTGATTACTCTGATTTGGTACCAAATCAGATTTCCATGTATGTCAACTGCAAGTGTCCAGAGTGAGGACAGACTGAGGGACCCACTGCTGCACATCATCTGTGAGGCTTTGCACCCCTGATGATCCACCAGGACAAACTCAGCAGTGTGTGAGGAAGAGGAGGAGGAAGAGCCAGCAGCAGCTGACAGATGGAGAGAATAGACAAGACTGTTCCCTGTTTGTGAAGGACTGCTAGGAAAGTTTAACATAACTAATTGTTGTTATGGAAATTTTAACAATAACCTGCAACACACCCAGTGAGCTTGATTTGAAGTGGGTTTAATAAACACATTGCAATGTGGAGAGAGCATCCCAGTGAAACACCAGGACCATCTCTGAATTGTGGCCACCGCCCTTACATCTTATATACAGACAGACAGACAAAGAACATTCCTCAAACTCTTACATGTTGGCCCCTCTCATGGGGGGGCTATACCTCCTCCCTCACAGA